CATCGGATGGGGCTGTGTGATTGTGTTTCTGCAGACACTCTGGACTTTCATGAAGTTCACAGATGAAGATTTCAATAGATATATATTTACATCTATTAATTTGGGTACAGTATTGAAAGGATTGAATTTATTTCCGTATGAAATTAACTCTTCATGAAACCAATACTCAGGAACTCACACAAAACAGACACCATGCAATAAAACAATAAAACTTATCTGGAGAAGAAATCTTCAAAGAGAGCAAACAACGGCTCTCTCCTCGCCCATTTATGACCCCCTTCTCCCCCTGGCCTCTCTGCCTCTCCCTCTTTCCCCCCAAAAGGTTTCACCCAAAGTTCATTAAGAATATGCATATCCCACAGATCATGTATCTTGTGAACCTGTTGTTTTTCCCCTTCATGTTTAGTGTCATTTTAAAGGTCTTTGTGCGATTGGTAAATTGGTTTCAATTTCAAAGTAGTAATTTATATTGTGAGAAAGACTTAACACTTTTGTAGAATTGTGTTGTGTTGAGGAGGGGGTGTGTCCCCCTTTAGGGGTCTGTGAGAATGTTTCCAGCCGGGTGTGACCCTGGATCACAGAAACTAACAAACAAAAGGTCTTTTATGTTTTTACAACTGATTTAAAGATTTCTCTGTCTTTGTTCTGGTAGTATTTAAGGGAAAGTTGCAAATCAGTCAGGGCGATTCTGTAGCCAGAAAGCCCGTAGTGTGAAGGTGTCCACAAAATTCACACTATGTATTTTTCACACGAAGTCAGGTATGCATCTTACTCTTAGATTTGTCTTTGAGAATTTGATGTCTTGTATTGATTTAATATCTTTGAATTGTCTATGTAATTGGCATAATACATATTTACCTGACTGATAATAAATTGTTATATTTGATTTATTCTGAACTCTCCTAAAATCATTATGACTAGTAAACTGTGAGGAGGCTTTTGTTACCGCAAATCTATGTCCAGGATAGATCAAACTGAAGGCTTGTGAATGATAGGAGCAGTAGGCACGTCATCGGAGACCTTCTGATTTCTGTCTATCGCCGATGTTACCAAGTTGTACGGGAAAGGACTAAGTGAATTACACTTTTTGTAATAAGCAAGCAGTAGGCGGCAGGCAAAATAGGTATTAGTCTACCTACACCCTCTGACTAGCATCAGACTGGCGAGTTTGTGACCGTAAGATCCACGTAAGGCCAGCGTGAGACTTGAAAGAGACATTAGGTCCCCAGTGAACGGATAAGTGAAAGTATAGTGAGTCAGGAATAATCAAATATCTAAATTAATATTTGTGATCATTAAAGTTAGGCAATATTTCAAAGCAATATTTCTAATTAAAAACTGATCACGTGAAATTGGAGTCAGATTGAACA